AACATAGCCTTGGACATTTGTTTTTGACTAGCAGCTTGCTGTTGTTCTAATTCCTTGATTTGTTGGGTTAATTCTTCCAGTTTTTGTTCTAACTTATTTTCTTCCTCCTTTTTCTCTCCTTGCTTTTCTAGGGGATTTTCTTGCTCTGCTAAGACTTGTTGAGAAAGAGCCTGAATTTGGGATCATTGCTGTTCTTGTTCGGTAAACTTTTGGGCGGTAATGTTCTCTTCCAATTTTTCTATATTTTGTTCCAATTGTAAAGCCGGATCTACTAGTTGGGTTTGCAGTTCTGACAATTCTTTTTCCGTTTGAACTTTTGCTTGTTGAATTTGCTCTAATTGTCTTTGATTTTTAGCCGAAGAAGCCTTTTTTTCTAAACTTTTAATTTTTTGTGCTTGCTGATTTAAAAGTTGCTTTTTTTCTCTAATGGTTTGCTGAATATTAAGAACTTTTTGCTGAGTAGGAGAAGGAGTAGGTTTTTTTGGTGCTGTTTCTTGAATATTTTGCTGAATTTGTGGTTGAATTTCTTGTAAACGAGTTAGTATTTCACTTTTAGCCTTTTCTAATTGCTCTAAAAATAGTTCTTCGGCTTGATTTTCCTCATTTTCTTGACTTTCAGTTTGAGCGGTCTTAATTTCCTCGGCTTTTCTTTTTTCCGGGTCTGTTAAAGGAGCCGTTTCATTTTCTTCATTTTTAATTCTTACTTCCCAACCTCATTCCCTTAATTGTTCAGGGGTATACATTTTAGCTCAAGAGCAATTAGGAGCTAAGGGCATACCTTCCATTCGCGGATATTCTTTTTCCACCGCGCCTTTTTTAATCCCTACTTTTCAATCTCTTTTTGAAGGTTGGGGTTTAATTAACTTTTTAGTTTCCTGTAAAAGTTTTAAAGTAGCCAAGAGTTTAGTTTTTTCGGCTTTGAGTTGTAAAGATTTTTGAATTTTAGCTAAGTTAACTTCTACTTCGGTGTTATCTAGTAAGGATTGAGCCTTAATGTAATTATCTAATCTTTCATTAGTTCATTGGGCTTCTTTTTTAACTTCCTCTAAGGCAATTTTATTTTGTTTAATTTGGTTTTCTAATTCATTAGTTTTTTGACTAATATTTTGCACCTGATCAGTTAAATTGCTTAACTTTTGGTTGGTATCTTGGGCTAAGGTGAATAATTTCTGATGATCTTTACCAATTTTATTCATTCTTTGGTGAATTTCCTCACTCACTTCTTCCATTTGCTGGGAGACTAAATTTAGTTGGTGTTTTTGAAAATGTAAAAGATCCGATTGTTCGGAGAGTTCTTCAAATATTTCTTCTCTTTCTAAACGAGATTGAGCTTGTTCATTTTTAACATTAGTTAATTGTTCGTTAAATTCTTCCAAAGTTTCTTGATTATCCTCAATTTTAGTTTCTAGAATTTTAGTCTTTCTCTGATATTCAGCTTCTAAATCTTCCAAAGCTTGTTGAGTATCCGCCGTTTGTTGGTTAATGGAAGCTTTGTAATTAAGAAATTCATCCTCTAATTGGCTTTTTTCTTTGCGAAGATTTTCAAGGTTGGTAGAAGTAAGTTTGATTTTGTCATGGGTTTCCCGGATTTCTGCTTCTCTGGCTAATCTTTCTTCTTCAATTTTGCGTTTGTTGTTTAATATTTTTTGTTCTTGTTCGGCAAAGCGTTCGTTGACTTCATTTCTTAAATCATCTATTTCTTTACGAAGTTGAATTTGGGCTTGATTTAATTTATCTTCCACCTCGTTAATACTTCGGGTCAACTCTTCTTTTTGCTTTTGTAACTCCTTTTTCTGTTCTTCGGCTTGTTTTTTTAACTCACCGGATAAAGTAGCAATTTTAGCATCTAAATTTTTAATTTCTTCATCAAATTTAGCTCCTTGTTGTTTTAATTGGTTTTGTAATTCGGATTTTACATTATCAATTTTGCCGTGTAATTCCTTACTTTGATTTTCAATTTGTGCTTTTGCACCGGCTAAACCATTTTTTAAATCTCCGATATCAGATGAGAGACCATCGAAGTCAAAATTTGTTCCGGATTGGAAATCTTTTCAACCACCAACAGCGGTTTTGGCTAATCTTTTAATAGTCTTACCACCGAATGGTAAAAAACTAGTTCCTAATTCGACTGCTCCTCATAAAAAATCTTTTCATGTCATATTTTTAAAATGTTGTTTTTGCGTGTTTTTTTTTTTTTTTTTTTTGTAAAATAATTCTTATAATCGGGAATAGTTATGAAAAAAAAGGAATTAAATTTGTTAGAAAGACAAAGAGAGTTAGAGAAAAAACGAGATAACCAAAAAGGTAATTTTCATAATGGTATTGGCGGCGGAATTTTCTGCTTAGTAATGAGTGCTGTTGCTTACTTTCTTCCACAGATCATCAAGGATCAACCAGATGATGCATGAATGAAGAAACACCAAACCACTATTGTTATTGGTTGACTTGTTGCTTCTGTTATCTTTGCTCTTTTAGGTTTTTATCAGTATTCACAAATGAAAAAAACTGAGCAAGAAATCGAAAAAGTAAAAAAGGAATTGGGAGAATAAGAGAAAATAAAACAACTTTCTTTTACAAGGAGAATTTAGGAAAGGGAAGTTTAGGCGTGTTTTCTAGCACGGCCATTAGCGGTTTTGTGAGTTAATGGATGAACTTCTTCTTTGGCTCTGTTTTCTCAGCGTTGTTGTCAACAATCTAGTTCATAAGCTTTTTGAATTCCTAATCAGAAATCCAAAGACATTCCAAAAAAGAGTGCTAAACGACAAGCAATATCAACTGTAAATTCTTTTTTCTCAGCCAAAATATCTTTTATTTCTTCAACTGGCACATTAATACCGTTAGCTAGTTTTTGAGGGGTAAGTTTAGCAGGAATCAAAAATTCTTCCCTTAACATTTCGCCAGGATGAATAGGTTCAATTTTCTTTGCCATATTTTTAATTTTACTCATAATGTTTGCTTATTCTCACTTCGTAAGCATTATTGTCTTTACCTCACTTGAAAATTATACGATACTGTTTGTTAACAAAAATGCGATAATAATCTTTTAAATTTCCTTCGAGTTTGCGAAGACGATTACCAGGTATCTTGGACAAATCGGTTAAAGATGTGGCAAGATCTAAATCCCGTAAACTTCTACGAATCTCTTTGCGATAACTTCTTCATTCTTTAGTATCTTCTCAATCACGGTAAAATCTTTCTTCCTTTTTGCTTTTTCAAGTTTTAATCATTAATAAATTATTTTTTTATCATTCCTTTATTTCTTTAAGGAGTAACAAAGTTAAAAACTCCATTTATAAAGATAATCAGGTATTATTTCTTAGGGTTAAGAAACTTTTCTAAATCATCTAATACTTTTTCTTCTTTCGATAGCGATTGTGAATGGAAGGAGGAGAGGAATTGAGAGTTATTTGCTCTCTCTCTCTCTCTCTCTCTCTCTCTAACTTTTCCTTTACTCAGGGGGAGAGATAAGGGAGGTCAACTAATTTACTTAATAATTGGAGGTCTCCCTGTAAGGCTTGGTTGACTAATTTTTCCCGGTTTTCATATAAAGAAGCCTTGGGATTTTTGGGGTTCATGGCATAACATTTTAATCACTCTTGGGTTAAGTTCTCTAAACGCTTTTCATATTCTTCATCTTTGCCATCATACAAACGATTTTGGATAATTAAGCAACGAGCTAGAATAGTATTGGCTATTTGGTCTAGTATTCGGTAATAAGTTCTTTTATTAATTTCTATTCCTTTGGGGAAAATCTTTTTCAAAAACTCTTCATCTTGGATTGTTGCTTGATTGACTTGGCTAACTAACTCATTTAAATCACTAATATCTAGTAATTTCATTTCGGGGAAAGTTGTATTATATTTTCTAATAAAAACCTCTCAAATAAGTTGGGGGTCTTGACTTTTTTGGAGTAAATCACCACCACGACAATCAAGTCGAATTATCGAAGTTTTTTCTAAACCTGTTATTTTGTTTTCGATAAATAGTTCAGCATCACAATATAAATCAGTTAGTTTAGGATTATGGCTGACATCTAAACTAGTTAGTTTATTATTATAGCAATATAACTTTTCCAAATTAACAAATTTACTTACATCCAAACTAGTGAGTTGATTATAAAAACAACTTAACAATTTCAACTCAACACATTTACTTACATCCAAACTAGTGAGTTGATTATAAAAACAATCTAACTCTTTTAAATTAACATTCTTACTTAAATCTATACTGGTTAGTTGATTTAATTTACAACTTAACTTTTTCAAATTAACAAACTCCCTTAAATCTAAATGTCCTTTAAAGTTTGAATAATCAATATCTATTGCCTCAACACTCCCCCTCTTCTCTTTCGGATAATCCTCATCTAAAAACTTAATAGTCTCAGGTTCCATTTTTAATTCTACTTCCTCCTTTTTCTCGGTTTCTGCTTCTTCTTCCATTTTAAACTTATTTACTTCTTCTTTTAACCTCTCATTCTCTGTGGTTAATTCTTTAACTTTTTCCTCCAATCCTTTAATAATTTCCTCCTTGTCAGTCATAATATCTAAATTTTTACTAGACTCTTTAACCTTTACTAGTAAAGAGTATAAACCATTAAAATCAATGGTTTCATAATCTTTGGCTTTCTCATCAAATAAGAGATTAATCTTTCTTAACTGTTCTTGGTGTTGAATTTTTAATTGGTCATCAGCAGTCTGAATTGCTGAATTTTTACTGGTAGAAAGATTTTCAATTTCTTGGTTTTGTTCTGCTAATTTGTCATTAAGTTCTTTTAGCTCTTGAATTTCATCTTTTAACTTTTCCATTTCCGCATTAGTTTCCTCTAATAATCTACTCAATTCTTCATCTTCAACCTCTTCTAAACCTAAATCCTTTTTTACTCTATTTTCATAAAGAGTTTGGTAATATTGAACTTCTTGTTGTAAATTAGTGATTTGTTCCTGACTTTCAGGGTTTACCAG